TTTTAGCACGTAGCTATTTATTATTAGCATTATTCTTCCGACGTCTGATTTCTTTTTAATTATAGGAAATGCGTTTTTCTAAGGTACATAAACTTTTGGGATTGACTGTATAGCCAATACATCCTTAAGGAGGAACGGTATAGTTGTAATCCACGTGGGCATGCAGTCTTAAAAGCATGTGATGAAATTTTATACGATTGATTTCATTGCACTTCCGGTTTTTCGTAACTTATATTGATACAAATTATAGTCGGATACTCAAAAATAACTAAAATTTTTGAAACAGCGCATGCAGTATTGAAATTCAATAAAACTTCTTGCCGTGACATATTATTACGGACAATATTCGATCGATTTGTAGCGATATAAATATATCGAAAAGCTTTCTCAGAAATACGAATGCCGATTTTGCTTTTGCGGAAGTTTCCATCTATGTCAGATTAGGATAGATTCTCTGACAACAGAATTTTTTGAATAATGTAGATAGTAAATCGTTCCGGATAGTTTATTTGACGTGGACGCGTTTGTAGGAAATTCAAATTATTCACTGACATGCGGTATTTCAAAGTTAAATGAAAATCGTTCTCGTTTATCGAGTCGTATAGGAAACGCGGATTGAAGAATCGGTAGTCGGATCGCGTGAGAGGCGCTAATTGTAAGGCCCGCGCTGGTCCAATCGCCGAGTGTTATACATACATGTACGTGCCTATTCTGCCTCGTTCATCACGAGACGCGATTCGAATCCGTTTTTCCGCAATGTCATTCACGGTTAACAGCAATTTGTCAATCGGCGGCGCGCTGTATGTACTTCATTGCGCGTGTTTTTCCCGCGTTTGTCGCGTTCCCGTTTTCGAGGGATGATAAAGATTTATCTATTCGCGTGTGTTAAGTCGCTGAAGCAGTCCAAAAATAACGGAGCTGAGTACCGCTACAAGTTAGCTGGCCTATCTTGCCCACTCCGACGTGAAACTGTTGTTGCGTCAGTGGTTGTGGGTAGGGATTGGGGAAGGAAGAGGGGTGTGAGCAGTGGGGAGAGGGAAAAGATGAAAAGACGGGAAAAGAAAGAAAATCGGGAATTCCCGTATTTCAACTTCTACTGGAAATTGCATGGATCGAGAGACAGGTTCGAGGAATTTTACTCCTCAAAATAGAAAGTAGAGTATCGTTGAGTTGTCTTTTAAGGCAGCTCTGCTTTCTATTTTGAGGGCTTAGATTTTATAAGTATCGTTCGTCGGGTATTTTATTTAACAGATAGTAACAAGGATAGGCGATATTCTTTGGAGTTGTCTTCTTAAATTGCGTGAGCTTAGAATCTTCTATACATTAAATTCGGTGTTAGAACTACGTTAAATTCCATTATCATTATTTTTTTTTAACTTCTTTAATATCGGTTGCACGAATATTATTCAATTTCTATAGGGAAACTTGATCGTAGAATTGAATTTAGAAATCCATTTGTGCAAATTTCGAAGTTCGTTCCCTTACTAATGAATTAATTCATTCTTATTGATCCTAGAGTGAAATTCAGTAGCGTATATGCTCGGTGACTTTTAATTTATTAGGATATTAAAGTTACGATAACATTACTGATGCTGAACGTTTGTGAATCACTGCTCGGTAAGGAAAACTATAAGAAATTTACGGGTACTGTTTGTAGCAACGTCTCTCGGGAAGGGTTGATCAGTAATTTAATCCATCCAATGGAATCCACTCTAAAATACAATACATTATGAATTTAAAATAAATTTTTAAAACGGTAGAAGTAACCTTGAGATCTCTCCTTCAATCGATGTCAAAGGAAAAGTAATTCGATTCTAGTTTCCGTTTTCAAATTAAGCCATTTTTATTGTACAACGCGTTTCACGATTTGAACAGAATTTCAACGTTTATTATACAGCATTAACAAGAAGATTATGCGTACAATTAAAAAAATAATTTTCTCGTGATTTTTAATTGTTCGTTCTGGCAAATATATTTTCTTCTTTCTCGATAATCACAAAGATAAAGTATCGTGAGATCGAAATAGATAATATAAAATCAACAGGCTCTGCCCTCTGCATGGACAAAAGTTAGCTTATCTGCTCGAGCTAAGCTTTTTTAGATAGAATGAGATACAACCGAATGAGATGATCGTAGCTTCGAATAGAACATGCATTTTATTCGACAAGAATTCAAGCATACTCGGTTTTCCCTTCGCGATCGTATCAATGTTATATGTAAGAAAGAAAAAAAAAACAGGAACAAACAATTATCTGAAATCGGAACCCTTAGGCCGTTCGAACAAATCGCAGATAAGTTACACAATCATTATCATACCTTCGTGATCATAATTAGCATATGCTGTTTAATGCCAGTTGTAGAGGGTTCACCATTGCGCGTCATTTTAATGAGTGATTAAAACTGTCAAGCAATTATTTTTATAATCAAAACTCGATTCCAGTTAGATGTTTTTAATAAAATATTCTGAATCTAACGTGGGAAGACGCGAACAGAAAGAACGTAACATTTGAAGAGCGTAGGATTTAATTAAACTTTTTGCATATATTTTATATAGTATCAGAAATATTATATTTAAGTACTCCTTCCGTTTGTTTGTTCGGCAAACTGATTTTCTTCAAATGTTCACACATGGCTATACTTTGAACTAGATACTTGCTTGAACGGGAAACGGTTTAACAAAGTGACGATAATATCTGGATATTGGAAAGAGAAAAGTAATGTCCGTCAGGATGTTACTTCTATGTATATTAAAATTGATAATGCAAAGGAAAAAATATGATCTAACTTAATGGAACAACGTAAACAACGCACAGTTCTGTCGAACTACGGTCAGTAGATGACCGCCGTCGACTCGTATGCCGATCGAGGGTTCAGTCTTTCATTAAAAATTGTTATCACACGCCTTTGCCAAATGATAAAATTGCACACTTATTTACAAGAGAGGATAGAGAAGTAAATCGATCGATCTCTTCAGTATCGTCGGAATTCAGTGAAATTGACAACTAGGTAAAAATTATTAACAGACCCGTTTAACATGCGCGTCAGTTCTACTTCTTTGCTGGTTTTCTCGATTTGCGAGCTGTAATCTTTTAGATGAATGTGGCTTACGACAGATTTGGCAGTAATACTATAACGTTTCGTTCCATATTCATTTTCTAAAAATTGTCGATCATTGTCGTTGATGTTGGCCGATGACAATGACAATGAATAAAAAGCACAAAGTGTGATGGCGGGCAGATTGCAAGGACATTAATCGTCGAGATCACGGGATAAATCCTTGGAAACTGTCCGCGATTTTTTTTTATGTTCTTAAACGGCACTCGCGCACACACAATAGTTTCGATCGATGTTGGTAAAGAGATATTTTCCCCCTTGATAGTCTAGACGGTTCTTCTCTTATCGTTTTCAGAGGTATATGTTATATTTTATGGAGCATTTTTTAAAAGGAAAAAAAAAGAAAAAGACAAAAGGAAGGTACCACCGTCCGTCCTCACGAATGCATTCTCACTTACCAGTGTAGAGGCACTTCTATATATTTTTTCTCGCATAATGATCCAGTGGCAGTACATTCTCGTCTCAATTGTAATCTTGCTTTTATAGAAAGGAAGGTTCATCCTTCTATGTCTGCACCACTCGTCATTAAAGTCGTCTAAAGTTTTGTTTCGCGCGGTAAATCTGGCAAACTGCTGCTGGTCGCGAGGAGACCGATGCTCTCTGTCATTTCTTTAGGCTTTTTCTCTTTGGCTAAAACTTCGGAACTGAAGCCTTTAAAAAATACCTTGGCATGGTCTGCGTCTTTATACACCGACGGCGAGCTGCCGTCCTTCTCGGATTTGTGCAGTACCGCCGAGTGCGATAGTGTCGATAGTGCGATTTCATGTGGGAATAAATCCAATTCTACCGGTGGGCCCGTTTCCTCGATATAATTTATGTGGATTCCCTCCAACACGTTCAACCCGTGCGGGCTAGCCGATGAGAATTCCGTTGGTGTATAGTACTCGCTGTTGATATCTTCGAAACTAATGCCGTTGGCCATGCCGCTGAGTTTCGTCTTGAAATAGCTGTTTACGCCAGCCGATCCGTCCTCCTTCACGTCGAACACCATCGAGTCGCTCTTCCCGCAGGAGCCGTTCCGACAGTTGTCGAAGTATAAATTTGGCAGGTTTTCCAGCACTTTGTTCAGCGTTTGTTGCTGATATTTATAACTCTCGCGTAACCGCAACACCTGATGAGCGCTGAACTTCCTTATCTTGTTACGCTGGAAGACATAGTTTTCTCGCACCCAATTCAGCTGGGTAGTCGAGTAATCCCGTACTTTCCTCACCTGTTCCGAGATTAGAAAAATAATATCGTGAGACGTCTGTGACTCACGTAGAAAAAATCCTTCGGGCAATCTTTCATCGTTTGTTGCTCTTCGAATGAATAAGTAACGAACATTTGAAACTTTATCATAGAGCAAATTCTAATTAACGATCGGACAATTCGAATGAAAAGTAAATGCGAACGAGCGAAGAATTGAAGGATGGTTCGTTACCTGATCGTAATACTGATCTCTAAGCGCGGTAAGGTGACTCGTTCCGTAGTCCCTTATATCCCTGATGTGCTGCATTTGATCCTCGTAACTTTCGCGAATCCATTCCACCTGTTGTACGCAATTCTCCTTTATTCTGTGCACTTGCTGAGTGTAATTCTCTCGCAGCCTCTCCAATTGTTGACTCTTGTACTGCTCGATATTGTCCAACATTTGATAGATTTGTTTCGCCCTGGGGGTGGAGCCGACGTGTCTACAGCACGTACACCATTTCCAACAGCCACACCTGAAACGAAGGAACACAAACGGCTTTATACGTATGTACATGTAGAATGGAAATCGTATGGTTCGCGAACAGTATCAATTTCACGCGAGTGTGTTTGCGTTACGTATACGATAACGATCAAACGAAATCTTTGTATCTTCGTTACACGTGACACATGGAAACAACAAATACATATCGGCTATTGTAACAATGGATCTGATGCGCGCGACTTAATTCGGAACGCTTACATGTTAATTACAGTTAAATGAAATGAAACAGAGAGAAAAAATGACTCACTTGATCAGGATGTAACGAAACAGTTGGAAGAAGAGCGTGAAGAGAAGAAAGGCCGTCGCGCTGGCAGCGCCAACCAGTATGCTGATGATGTTGATTTTTTGTAATGTTATTGGATTCATCTGCAAACTAATATAGGTAGTGGCATTGGCAATCGGATTCACTGCGAAACACCTGTATTGTCCAACATCCTGCCTGAGCAATGTCGTGATGTACAAAGATCCATTCTCGAGGATGCGTATGCGACCATCATCAACGAACGGTACACTTTGTTCCCATTTGTGTACAGAAGGATGTTCGACAAAAGCATCGGGAAAAGCTGGGTCAGGATTCCAATGCAGTACCTGAAGTTTAGGCGTAACCCATGTTAACGATGGCGTTGGATTGCCGCTGAATTCGCACTCGAGCAGTACTGGGCTTAATAAAAGATATTGTTGCGTGGGCGTAGCATATATCAAATTCGGCCGTGTACATTTCAAGTAACGAAGAGTTTGAAGCATGTCGCCAGTATCGTCGATATCGGCGCCGCATCTGAACCCGCTTTGAAAAGCGGTACGCAAGTGCTCTTTGCTCTCGGCCCATTTGACGAACCAGAACATACGGCAATCGCAGGCCCATGGGTTGCCCTGCAGCTGCAGCTCGTTCAGAGACGTCAGCTGCGCCACGTTTGCCGGAAGGAAGGTCAGATTGCTGTCGCGTAAATCAATCTTGCGAAGCGCCAAAGTGCGATCTAAGGTGCATCGCGAGATTTCGCGTAGCGGACTGTTACTCATCTCGAGTGTCTCCAATTGTTCTAGTCCCTTCAAGTCTCCGTTATGGAGCACCTCCAGTTTCGTGCCGGAAAGCAACAGGGTTTGTAAATTTCTTACTGGTCGCCATACGTCTCGTGGTAGCACCCTGATCGGCAGATTCTCTAGACTGAGCCATTTTAAGTTGCCAAGATTTTGGAACGCTATGCTGTTGAAATGTTCGATAGGATTCCCAGATAGATCGAGGTACTGCAAGGACACGAGGTCGGCGAAAAGGCCGTGCGGGATTAGATCGATTTCGTTGTTCGCCAGTTTCAAGATCTTCAGGTTGTTCAGACCAGAGAACAAACGGGGCGGGATGTTTTTCAGTCTATTCGCAGACAAGCGCAATTCCTGGAGCTGTACATTGGGTCTAAAGCTGTAATCTGGCAAGGCCACCAACAAATTGCCGGACAGGTCCAAGCGCGTCAATGACTTACTCGCACCGAACATTTGATACGGAAGTACTTTGAGTCTGTTTCGCGACAAGCCGATCTCCTCGAGCCTGTCCAAACCTTGGAACAGAATTCCTGGGAGTGTGTTCAGCCGGTTTCCAGTTAGGTTCAGGTACTGTAGTTGGTGCAACGGATGGAAGACGTTCGGAGATAATTCCGTTATCCTATTGTCACCTAAGTCGAGATGCTCGAGGAACGTTGTACCGACGAATACGCCGGATTCTATCTTCTCGATCCCGCTCGATGTCCAGGCAAGGCTCTTCAAGTGTACCGCGGTTTCGAGGGCGGAAACTGTTAGAGCCGCGGCTCTGACGTTTCTCAGCACTACGCTTATCGCTTGACTGGGCAAGCCTAGTCCTAGGAAGCTTCGCTCCTGACACAATAAACTCTCCCCGTTGGCTAGACACTCGCAACCCGTGGCACATTCTACTCGCGAAGACGGCAACCCTCTCTTTTCCTTGGCAGGTGTCGACAAGCGATCCTGCGACAGGAGATCCTGTGTACCCGTCACGTGCACCGTAATGAGAAGAACGATTAACCACCACCACGAGTCCCACGCGAAAATCCTTTTCCTCATTCCTACGACCTGTAATATGATTTTCACGCTTACAGCCAATACCCATTCCCATGTCCTGATGTGTCTTCGTGAAATCCAAAAACTGACTGATCAATATTGATAGGTTTTCTCTTCTCATGCTTCTTCTAAGTTCAGCTGTAATCTTTAAGCACGAGATAACACGTTCACTTTTGCTAATCTTTTCTAACTTCGCAATGATATGTAGCGGGCTTATATGAAAATGTGTTTCATTGCTCTAACGAGTCTTAGTTACACACCACGACACGTGTCGTTCGGTAGAACACGAAATTTGCATGTATGTACAGTTATTTAATTCTCTATCTTTTCTGAACCGTGTTTATCTTTGTCTTTCTCTTTCGTGCGATGTTCTCTTTATGTTGGGGCTACGTACCTAGTAACGATCATGGGCAACCCGCGAAGCCAACTGTCTCGGCTGAGTTAGCGGCGGGCGAAATAACCGGCGGTCTGTCTCTCTCAACCGTTCGTAAAATATACGATCCCGTCTCGGTTGAACGTTGCGGGGTTACTGGGTTTGTTGTGGATAGCGATAACGGCAATGTCGTTGTTGCTTTTGCCGTATCGAATCCGTAACATAATTGTGCGCGTTCTGATGGAACGACTTTTTGTACAAAGTTCCGAAATTGGACGGGAAGGGAATCCGTCAGTAGATGGAAACAACGGCTACACATATGACTCTTACTGTGTATGATCATGGAAAACACTTGCACGCGCGCAAGTACATATGTACAAATGAATGTAACGCATACAAACGAAAGTCACGCATACACTCTCACTCGCACACACTCACGCACACCCTTCGTTCCTCCTTTCCTGTATCTTTTCTGTCCTCCCTCTTCTACCCGTGTGTTAGTCAAAATCTCTCGTGTATATCGGCCTACGTCAATCGTGGAGCGGCGACACAGAAGTCTACTGTTCGTTCTCCGTGTCACATGACACACTCGTGCATCGCGACACGACTGGCGTCGTCCATCGCGTATCAAAGGCAAAAACTGACTGTGAGGGATTCGTTCGCCAGTCTCTGCTCCGGCTTCTCCGCGTGGCAGCCCTCGCTACGAAGAACCGGCAACGTTGCAAGCCTCAGGAACCCGCGCCGACGCAAGACCGGCTTCGACGCTCATTCCGCACCTTCTCTTTAGTGTATCGCTCCGACCAACCGACCCGACCCGCTCTCAGCCCTTCGAGCCTATTCATGCCCACCGTATCCTTTTATCCTCGCAAACCAATATCGCGTATCCTTCCATTTTTTCGATGTGTTCCCAACACGTACACGACATATAAATACATATAGGGATGCCACGATAGCTTTATTTAGCTCTGAAACATGAACCTTTAATCGACAATCTTCTAACGTTAAATTAAGTTTTCTCTCCGGATTTTCTCGTTATATTGTGGTATACTTTTTCTTTTCTTTCTAATTCGATGAACTGACTTACGATTACGATTTACGTTTCCAACTAATTTTTTATAATTCGTTCACGTATTTTTTAGAGAATAAATTGACAAGCATAGGCATGAGTGTTAGTCGTTAAGTCTGGGTCTTTTATTAATTGGCTTCTTTTCCGGTCTGGTTAATATTATCAATTCTAATTGCCCATGAGGTCTTACCAGCTCTTCATAGGTTCTATGACGTACACTCTGATATAATTCTTCCCTTTTGTGTGCATATTGAGCGCACAATTTGCTTTTAGGCCGGTATTCAAAGTCGTTGCTTATTCTTAAGATCGTCTTAAGCATTTGCTTAAGTCCCTGTTCCCTGTACAAGACAAGGACTGCAAATATGGGATAGACAGGAATAGCAAATTCCTAAGACGATCTTAAGAATATGCAGCGACTCTAAATACCGGCCTTAGATTTCAGATGCGCTTCTGGAAAATTGCATAAGGTCACGACTGAATACGTTAAATTCACGTGGAGACTCGTGAACATTGTTTCATTATGTGGCACGGATCTGGCATACCAGTGGTCTCAATTTTCACTTAAGACAGCATGCACATTGCGCTTGTATAATTATTGTTCCTTCCAATTATGGGAAGCATTCGAAAGCGTGTCTGCACGCCAATTATACATGTACAGCTCTGCTAACAAACAAACTGATACGCAAATATGTCTGAAACGAGAATAATTCAACACGAAAGAGTTATCTGGTAAAAAATATTTTTATCTTAATCGACGCGACTGAATGCGTGTTAAATACAACCGCCACTCAATAAAACGGAGAAAATGTAGCGTTTTATTTATAAAACAGGGGTGACTTTCAGATCTTTACAACGTTGACATTTTTATTAAATACCTAAACTATATTTTTCACGAACTTATGTTTTTTTCGTATAATCTATTTCGACGATGACGAAAAATTTTTTTCTTCAACATTTCGGAAAATGCTTCAAATAAAAGTTGTTTTCCTCTTAATTTCGATATTTAACGAGTTACGTATGATTATTTGGCATTTTATTGATGTTGACAAAATCCGACCATCCCAGCGTCGAAATGGCGAACTTTTGGAAAAAAATTTCGTTTTTCCTCAATAACTCTTAAACCCTTGGAGATACGGGA